TCATCAAAGCAGCCGTCTGGAGCTAAAAACAAAGTTTGGCCTGAGGAAAGGAACTGATGATGCAGGGTAAAGCCTGATTTATGCTCAGAAACCAGGTGGTCTCTGTGTGTGTCGCAGTTAACGCAGATATGCCCCCCCTTACGCAGACACTCTGGTACACCTGCCCAAAATTGTAGGTTACCACAGACAGTGCCGTAGATAGAATTGCAGGAAGGAGAGAAAGGAGGCCTCTGATTGGTGAATTCTGCATCCACTCTATGCATATTTCCGGTTCGGTACATAATGACAGAAACTCTAGCTGTAGTGCCGTCCACAACGCCTGGCACACATTGGACACTATATCAGACACCGTACAGTACGCTAGTTTGTAGCTTTGTGCGACAGTCTCTTGGTTTGCACTCGAAGCCAAAATACGCAGCACCACAGCCAGTTTTTCAAGAACACTGATGGGTGTTCACTGGATGGATGCGTGTCGTCCGGCGTTGGATGAGGGGTTGTAGATGGCGAACAAGTTCGTCAAACCGACAAACGGACACTAGCTAGTTGGTGATTGTCCTTCTTGCATTGTGGAATAACATAGCACAGAACTCGCTTCAAAATTGGGCATAAATCACAGAATATCTGCATAAGACGTGCTACAAGAAAACTGTGACAAACTACTGCGGGAGGTTGCACAGCCCTTAAGGCTGCAGACCTAAAATCTCCAGACTTTCCTCTTGTAGATAGAAGTTGGCCTAATATAACCATTTAATATTCAGCTTTTTCCTCCACCTACCTTTCACAGAGCTCCCTGAAGTGTTTTGTGTTTTGGATTCCAGTCGCTCTTAATTATCGTGTTTTTAGTTGTAAGAAGGTCAAATAAAAATTTCTTAATCTGCTGCTTGGCTTGTGTTTGTGGCTGTTCTAGATTCAACTAGCATCCATAAATCATGACACCTTCTGCTCGCTAAGAAGCATCACCTCTGACCAGAGGACTCAACAAGTCATCGCTATGTCATGTATTTGTTCTGCTCAGCCACTGAACCAAGTGAGTCCAATTTGTATTGCGTCACGTTATTTTAAAATGCCCTCAAGCAAAATTTAAACTACTTAGTTAAACTACTTCTGAGCATGGTTTATCTACTGGGAAGTAGTGTCTGGAAGCCTTTGACTGATGCTTACTACTTACCCCATGTACCAAAAACGTTGAAGAAGCCTCCGCCACTGTCTCGTCTCCTGCCGTCGTCTTCACTTATGATTGACCAGCTGTCAGTCAAAGGCTTGCTGACGCTACTTCCCGTGTGATCATGTCTGCAAGACCCAATCAGGAGGAGACTTACAGAAGAGGTTTGACTCCACCCAACCTGTCAAAACACATTTTCCTTTATGCGGGGAGAAAATAAGTCAAAGGGCAAGGATGCTTTCAAGAGAGCAGCCCTCCTCAAGCGTGACCTCTGGATAGCAAATCCTGCCAGTGGTGAGATCCCGAGCACTATCCCAAGAGCGCCTGGGAGGAGCTGGCGAGCACGGAGAGCGATTTTCTCCTCTCAGCGTGGCAGTTTATCGTGCATGTGTGGTTTTGTTGTGCAGTGGTATATAAAGCATGCTTAGAAGTAGTTTAACATACAGTACATACAAGTATGTTTATTTTGCTAACGGGCGTTTTGAAATAATTGTGACACCATAAATCTGCACAGGTGAAACAAGATTGGACTTACCTGGTTGAATAGCTGGGCAAAACAAATACATGACATAGCGATGATATGTTGACTCCAGATCCCCCATCTCTGCCTCTGACTTTGATTGGAAACATATGTTAAATTGTAAAAGTATTAGATGGGACTCACAGCAATAGCATACATGGTGATATTGTCATCCTTGCTTTGACTGACAGCTTCCATCAAATGAGGACTGTCATGCGATTCACC